TGTTTACATCAGCAATACCTGTTTAACTTACAGTATGTGCAAGATGAGGAAATGCAGAGCTATTTCTAGAACAGTGATTTGAATGACTCAGCAATAGCACCTGGTATTTGCTTACAAACTTAGCAAAATAGCACCTGAATAATAGAGGGAAAATCACGTGTATTGCTACATATCCTTTTATGCATACCAACAAATGAAAATACACGTTTCAGCAGGGTCTATCGGCCCACTTTTTCAATGTAAGTCACTGATGTAATGCTAATTGGACTGATACTGTGTTTCCCTACCGAGAATATGAGTGAGCCACAGGGCTAGGTCTTCCTTCATGGGCAGCAGGCTGGCTTCATGTCGACTGGCGAGCCACTGCTGGTACTGCTGCATGTCTGTGAGGCCGGGGCCCCCGGGATGTTTGGGGCTCAGGGTGCTGCACATCATGGTTCCCTATCGACAGCCTGAAGTAAGAGAGACAAAGAACAAAGAAAGAGACCTTTATTACCTTAATGTTAGTTTGCAAAGAAAACTTAAGACATGTCTATATGCAGGCCTACGGTATTTGATAAGAAACACAATGTAAGTAATATCTGTGAAATACAGTACAGCAACTGTACAGTAAGTTCTTCCAAAAATACATTGAATAATATCTGCGGAATATCTTCTGACAAATGCCCGATCATCTAATTCAGATAGTCTACATACAAATAGACTGTTTATAAAACCCTTTTGTAAGGGTTGTGGTATAGGCTTGATATGATGACAGTTAGAATCAATTTAGGAGAAAAAAAACACCTGAACATGTTTCTTTTACACTAATAAGCTACATTATAATTTCTCCACAACATCTGACATTCAGGTGGCCAAATATTTCATAGAGGAGGATCAAATGAATGAAAGGGATCTGAGGCTTTTGTACTTTTGGCCAAATCCTGGTTTGATTTACATCCACCTGATAACATGAGACAGCACAGTTCCTCTCCGCCTCTTCAAGGACAAGAGCCACTTTTATACCAGTGAGACACTTACAGTGGGACTTTTATTCAACATTCAGCAGACACAAACAAAGAGCTCCTTCATATTACAGATACAGTCTATCATAGAGACTAAATCAATCCCATCCAGCAGGAACAGCAGCAGGCCTTAAACTACAGCTTGATGGAGAGACTGGGTTTGACATCAATATTCAGAGCGACATTTAACAGCTTCTCACTGCCTGCAAAGTGAAGTCAATGAGTAAATGAGACATTCCTTGCAGTCTTTTTCCAATATCTCGCTGCAGTGTGCCAAGGTTTTTTTGTCTGAGCTGTAAAGTGAAAATCTTTCACATAACAATCCAGTGTCACTCCATTAGTGCAGTGAGTAACTGACCAAACAACTGGGCACCAGATGTAAGATCTGACATGAAGAGTGTATGTGTGGACATCATTTTAACAAGTTAGAAGACAGAAATATGAATAAATAAGCAAAGAGTCTTTATGGATTGTTTAAATGTTGGGTTGTTGTAAAAAAGTGTTTGTAATGCATCACAAAAGCATGGTCTTCTGTCATTACAAAGACATGGATGACGTTTTGAAAGATGCTTTTCTTCCACCTTATCAATTGTGTGATAAGTGGGCCAAACATACTACGCATTTTAACAATGGAATCAAGTTGCTGCATCTAAAAAGTGTTGCCTCAAAGCTTGGACACACGCAGGAACATCATACATAGGCAAATACTGTAGCAACAGGATGTTTGATGCAAATTACAAGAGGAGTTTATCGAAAGAAGGAAGCATAGCTGCATGAACAATTACCTCATAGTGTGTGATAGCTACAAATGTCCTCTGAATACTGAGGGAGTGTCACACAATGTGAGGAATCTGACCTTAAAAAGCTGTGTAACATTTCAAGGTCCCTCTGGAGCTGGCTGTACCCGAATCACACTGTGGTGCAATGCAGGACCTCAGGACCTTGATGTCCGTCCAAGGTTGTCTTATTTTCCTGAAGACAAGAGCTCCTCGTTGTGTACACACACTAAACTCCGGAGCTCAGCACTCACACACAGGTGCAACATTCCCACGTCCACGGCAGGCTGACGGACAGAACAAGGGCACTGGGACTCATGTCCCACAGTACAAGGCCCATTCATACGTTCACCGCTGTCCATAAAAACATAATGTCCTTGACAGGAAACATAAAAGATACTTTTTTTTCTTGCACAATGAAGATATTATATGAAATATGTTTCAGTTATTCTTTAAATATCTTTTAATATGCTGTTTAGGGGGGTTGAGATCCATTGATGATAAATTAGATATTTAGAATATGAACTATTGATATTATGTTAACAATGCATATATAATAATATTATCTTTGCATATGTCCACTATGGATTTTGGAGGTTTTTCTTGCTGCCTTTTCACTATCCGATGTAATATAGTGTCATTTTGAATGTTACATTTTGTACAATTATGGTAACAGACTCTCTCTCCACCTCCCTACGCTCTTCTTGTGAATGTTATTCATTTGCCAAAAGAAAGACAACATTCACAACAAACAAGTTAAAAATAATCAGATTTTTTTCTCCCCGTGTTAAAAATAAAATAAAATCTATATTGTGAGTTGTTTTGGCCATGTTAATCTTGAATTGAAATCTGATTGTGACAGTCCTTCTGCACATTACGCATATCACCACTGTCAGATGGAAACAGTTTTCTATGTTCTCCTACTTCTGAAGCTAAATAATAATAAATACATGTTGTATTGGAGTTATGAGTAAACATCTGTCAATTAACCACATAGACAAATACTTAATCTTAGTTGAAACGCTATATTCTTCTCAATAGGATTATGAATAAACATCACCCAGGATTCCCCTTTTCTGTTACAGGAAAGAGTCCAAAAGAAACAACCAGCTGTTGTTAAACATACCTGGTCCTCTCACCACACTGCAGCCTGACCTTTCCACTGCAGGCCAGACACACAGCCAACACCATCTCTGTGCTACTGTAGGCTTCATGTAGCATATACAATCTGCTAAACTCAGTGCTTCATCTATGTATTGTTAGTTTTCAGAATCAGAATCAGAACTTAGGCTAAGTATTAAAACTAAGAAATAACTCAACTCTATTGCCCAGAGATATTAGATGAAACTGCAGTAAACCGGCCACAGTGGGCTGCAGATTGCTCCAGGATAGAGATATGGATAGGGATTTCGACTGCTGAATCACATCAACTAGAAAAAAACAAGTGTGGCTCTGTCCTCCACCCTCACCGCCCTTTATGCCTTTCTCCTCTACTACAGTAAACTGATACGGAGGCTAATTTGTCCATTTAAAGTCAGCAGGCTTACTGCAGATAAGTACTGTTAGTGTTGGGAGTCTGTGTTCTTTTCAGGGACAAGCATATCCACTGTGCTCAGTAAAGTTCAAAGTCTCTAGCGAAAAATATCAACAAAAGCAGAATATTCTGATGATTCTGCATTCAACAAAATAACATGCATAAAGAACAATGCTTGTATGTGCACAGGAGTATATCACAATTTCCAATAAGATTGTGCTTGTGTGTATTTCTGCATAAATCCTCCACATCCATAAGCCATGATACTAAAATTATTTGTTCCAGATTGTTCTAAATGTGCCTCAGGCCTGTAGTAAAAGAACCCTGTGTTGTAAACATGTTCAGCATCAACAAACTGTATTTCAGACTGAAAACATGTCTACACTTATCCTGCACCATACAGATCTTTAATTCTGCAATGTCTGAAGTTAGTGCAATAAATTAGTCATGGCCTGTATTGCCCCGTTACTGTAAAACCCTTGGCAGCACATTTCATTTACAACTGCTTTACGATTTTAAAGATGTCTCCTCCTTTACATCTGTCACAAATAAAAACAGCCACAACAGACACTTCACTTCTCTGAAAATAGGATCAAGGGGGGAACGCCTGATGAGTTATGACTGAAATCCAGCAGAGCACCCACTAATTAAAAACCAAAGAAATTAATCTGAGCTGCAACTGAAGAAAATATGTCAGATTCTGTAATAAAGTGCCTTGAATTGCTTTGAAAGAAATATAAAAATACAAGAATAAAAGAGTAAACAGTCAAGAAGTAAGACTTAACTTTTAAACAGAATATGACATTTATCTGCAAAGCTCTCTTCCCTCTGGTCAGAAGAACAAGTAGGCTACAAGGTACAAACTCAAACCTGAATATGCATGAAGACATTCAAAAGTTTGAACTTTATTTCATCAATATAGAGACTTTAAAAATGCTCCTTACCTGTGCTCACCCAGAGGGTTCAGCTCGATAGTGCACACCTTCCTCTCACACGTCCTTGGAGCTGCTGGATCCCAGTTTTCATGCTTTTCACCGCGGTGCACCGACCCACAGGTTAGACTCCAAAACAATGAACCAATGCAGACCGGGGAGGTCTTTTTCGCTGCGCATTTGCACAAGGATCTGACTTCACAGACACACACATGCACACTCACACACTCTGCCACTGCTGCTGCTGCTGCTGCTGATGATGATGATGATGATGATGATGGGAGGGAAGTTTGATCCTGCCGCAGCCTCGCTCGTCTTTTCGCTTTATGCTGTTGCCTCAATATGACATTTTTAGAAAGAATTCGGCAGATCAGCCCGAAAATTAAATCCTTCGATATTTTTTATTTAATGGATTATCTATTTGTTGTAGGCTATGCACATGCAATTTAAGCCACATGAAAGACCCTGACTTTTTGAAATTGATATCGTTTTACAGTTGTGACACAAATCATGAAGTAGCCACAAGAAATACATTCTGAATTGCTGTTATTAAAACAAATGTTTTCTTAGCTAAGTTAGATGTTTCAATGATATCGACTACAATATAGAAATAATGCTTTAAATAAATACTGTATAACTGGAAAATAAACATTAAAAACGAAATGATCAAATCGAAATGCTGCTGTTACCTGATTAATTAACTATGTTTTTTGTCAGGGCTTTTATTTTGAAGGGAAAAACCAAAATCTAGCAGTCACTCACGCATGCGCAGTGGTGAAAGCGGCACAAGCGGGACGTGAGAAAATGAAAAGAAAAGTGAGTAAAACAACAACAACTATGTTTATAGCTACTAAATACCCCTCTTCTAGTATGCCATACTGTCTTTTATGTATAACGCTAGATATTACCTCAGCAACAATCGTTAGAAAGGGCTTTGTTTTGAAACGTTTTGCCGGAAGTCCTTGGCTTCTATAATTCGAATGTCAGTTAGCTAACCTGTTGCTAACCCACTAGCTAATATAAACAACGTTTAGCAGGTATTTCGGGGGAGGACACTCAGGTGGATGTTTAGCTCTATAAGTTGTCTCTCCTCCACAGTGAGCGACCTCCATCGGCTCTCAGAGGCTGGATAGTGAACGGGGAGAGCGCCACATGGAGGCGGTGCTCAAAAGCCTGTCCAGCACTGCGGAGCTGTTGGCCGTGGCGGCGCGGAGCAGCGCGGTGGAGCAGTGGGATAAACAAACCCTGTCCAGAGCCTTTCACTGGGCCCGATACTGCGAACACCTATTCTCCAGGTTTCACAATAACACCACAATAAAGAGGGTGATGGAGAAGCAGCTAGAACTCACAAATGAAAGTTTGCGAGCCGTCTTTCCTCGATACACTGACGTATGTTTCAAAGACCTCTTCCAGTGTCAGCACCTGTTGCTGATGGGGCTGCTGAAAAATCCTGACCTGCCCATCTCCATCATGAAGATACTCTTTGACACTGTGAGTCCTGTAAACACTCAGCAGAGTGACTATCAGGATGTAACTGGCTTCTGTAGCCACATCATTCAATGCAAATCTGCTTGTAAAGTCCTGAGTCCTCTCACAGACTTGTCAGGTGCTGATGTTGAGGTGCAGGGGGCCGTGCTGATGGAGAGGCTGGAGGATCTGCTGAGTGGAGGCGGTGAGGCCAGCCGGAGAGAGCACATTGTAAACTCTTTCCTCCAGGAGGGTGAAGGAGCATCGGGACATTTCTGTCTGGTCATCGCCGCTGCTCTGCTGACAAGGAAAAACTCTAATGCTTCACAAACTGCTGCACAGGATTGTCTCTTAGACTGGCTGCAGAAAGAACAAAATGTGCTGCAGCAAATGTGTTCTGCACTTCCTACTACACTCATTATAGACTTGGCAAAAAGACACCTGAAATGTAGAGATGCATACTGTGATGTGCTAAAAAAGTGGGCCTCTAGTATGGAGTACAGCATGAGTGAGGGTGAATGGGTTCAAGCAAACACAAACCGGACCGTATCCTTCCAGAGACTTACGGAGCATTTCCTGGCCTTGTTTGCGGCCTGTCCCTCTCTCAGAGAGGATGTGGAGAAAGAGCTAAATGTTTTGAACATTTCTGACGGGGACTTTGATGTAAGAGGTCTTAGTGTGTGGGGAGACCTTCTGTCAGCAATAAACAAGTGACAGTCAGTCTCAGAGCTGAAGCCAAGATGTAGCTACATGTATTTGCCTGTTTGTATCTGGATGCAATGGTTGAATGCAGCTGGGAATTAAACCTCAAAACGTTTTGATACCAAACACAATGTGTCTTTAGTGTGGATTATTGAAAGCCAGGAGTGACCATACCCTGGCATCAAATGTTCACATTCTTCTTTACTTTTGATCAAACAGTTTCTATTATAATGTGGCCAATTCAACGTAATGTTTAAGTTAAATAAGGCACTTGTTCTTGGGTTTAGACATTAATACAGACACTCAGTATTCATGTGTGCATTCATATCGACAGTCTTCCCAGTGCATACAAAAACTAAACTCAAAACAAACTGAAATTCATTCACAGAGGTTTCTTTTCAATTCTTCAATCATGACCATGAAATAATTCTATGCAACTATCACACATCATAAACACTTGCTGAGTATTGGAACATGTTAGATTTATATCAACATCAACAACACTAGCCTATTTATTTACAACTATAATTATTATTACTTTAAGTTATGTAAATATTTTGTTTTTTAAATGTACAGCTTACACTATCTGGACAGGTGGTAGCATCACATGCTGTCTTTTATTCACTGGCAGCATGTGATCTGACTGAATTAAACGGAAAGTAAATGTCAGGCAGTGAATAGTTGACACTTTATAAATTGGCCTCTGGAGATTTAAAGCTCCTTTTATCATCATAAATCCCACCTTAGTACCAAATTATATTTTGGATGTGCTGTTTTAAAATCATTCTGTTAATGTAATAGGGGAAACTAGACAAGAGAAGATCAACATTTTTGCAAAAAGCAAAGAAAGCAAAAGCCATGGTGGAATCCAATTGACCTTTTCTGACTGTACACACCTCAATTCATTTTCATTTTCACACAGACAACCTGTCAATATTGCCTCTTCGCCCCAAAGCTGCCTCCCTCTGAATCTAAAATGTTGATTTGCTGAATGCCAGTCATGTGACTTGACTGCCAATTCGCACATCTCAGAGCTGGCCGGTGTGTCAGAGCACCTCTGCGGCGAGGGATCAGTTAGTCAGATCGGGCGTCGTCAATCAAAGCTGCACAATAGCCGGTGTGTGACATAAGTGTGGCAGACAGCGGATTAGAGAGCCGGCCGCCGCGAGGAGGAAACACCAACACCACCACGGCTCGTTTAACACGCCATGAAAGCAATTCACGTTCAGACAGACAAGGGTCACTGAGTAAGGGGCAGCATGTACACAACCAATTTATTTCCAACCAATGAAGAACATATGCATCAAGCTGGATGGGGACCAAGAATGATTAAAGGGATCTCATCTGCTCCGAGGATAGAAATATATGAACATTTGTGCAATTTCGATTTTCATCATGTTTGATCAGCTTTTACACAAGTCTGGTATTTAAGAATGTGGGGAAATAAAGGAGATAATTGAGGCTTTTATTTTGAGATTACATTGAGAATTTTGATCCTTTATTTGACCGAGATGCACATTATCGTTCACCCTTACAGATTCTCTTCATTTTTAGATGTTGTGTTTCACACTCTTCATCACAGCCTCACACATAACTGGCAGAGTGAGTGAGAAGCCGTGATGATGATTCAGATGTGTTAGCCTCACTGCAAATTACAATCCTATAAATAAGTCCTATGGCTGTATCTATACTAAAAGAAAAAACCTATTATTTTATAGGATAAAAAACATGTCTATCGTAAGATACTAAAAAAGGAAAGCATTTTATCGTTGATGTTCTTATGCCAAATAATTATTTCCAAAGGTGTTTTTTTTCCATTTAAAATAGGGTGTTGTTAAGTAATAGACCACCCCTCTAAACCAGCAATTTACCTATCAGTTTTTGTCCCATAAATGTGAACAAATTGCCCTCTGCTGTTAACCTGCAAGGTGAAAATGACAGGGTTGTCTGATTGCATCACTTCAAACAACAGGAGGGCCACACCGCCCCATAGTAACCACCAGCCCACTTTAAATGTGTGACATTGGCTTGTAGCATCTATTATATTAGTTCAACTACTCTCAGTACGTTTAATAATTTAGGAATATTATGCCTTTCTGTCTTTCATAAAACCACTTTCTTTAAGTGTGTAATTAGCAATGAAACGTCCAGTACTTCCTGCTCTCTTGTCTTCTCCTCGGCTTGTTTCTGATTCTCTGCAGTGTATTGTTGTTGTGTGTCAGCGTGGGGTAACACACTGCAGTGAGACGTGCTTAGGGGCGTGAAGGATGGCATTCATTAAAACTCAAATCCAGCCCCCATCTGGTGGTGAATAGGGAATCCTCTGAGGGGCGGGGCGGGGCGGAGCNCCCCCCAATTTTGCATTTTGAAATGCTCCCGATTTCTGAGGTCTAAAGTTTGGCAAGTATGGGCTAAACTCTCATTTTCAAGAGAGACCTGTTCAGTGGAAATGGGAGTCTCCTGTTAAGTGAAATGGTGAATTGAACCAAATGTGTTGTTTAGTTAACAAGTTCTAGCTACAGTTCTAGAGCTGTTCAACGATTCTCCACTCAAGATGCAGACAGTGACTGTGTCCTTGCGCAAAAATTCGTAATGACTATTGTGTAATTTTATCTGACAGATGGTCTGGGGAAAGTTCAGAAGCAGGAATTAAAAATTGCTTTATTGTTCAAACATAAAATCTTTAGCTGGTCCAAGTTTTTATCCATAGAGGGAGTGTCAGAAACTCTGGATATTTTGCCAAACAAATTGCATTAATGTCTAAGCAAATAAATGATCTAAGGTAAACACAGGGACGGCAGCATCAAGACCCAATAAACACTTGTAGACTTCTCTTGTCTTTGTATTTTGGGTTGTATTCAACGGCTGGTTACTGTGGCAACCTTATTTCCGAAGTTCTTTTCCACTAAAAAATTACCTCTGCAATGCCATACTGGAAACTAAACTAAAAGAGCCGACGAAAGATTTTATTTTTTTTGTTCTTTGTTGGTAAGTAGAATACTGAAGTCAGTGCAAACATTAACTTCCAGTTGTCTGGATTTAATGAAGTCCATGGAGGAATTCGGCTTCAAATGTATACTAAGCTAATGTTAGCTTCTGTATGCAGCTCACATTGTTAGCAATGTTATCAGCTATAGGTTAATGTTTCATACAGTATTTTCAGCTATCCATTAATGTTTATTGAAGAAAATATATGTAGGCCTACATCAAATGTGAGAGGAACTACACGGGTTAATAGAAAACAAATACAAAACAATTAAGATAATAGTTATAAACAGAAAAAAGTTACATTTCAAGTAAACATATTTAGCAAATACACATTAGGTTTTGATTGCCTTATTCTTTATATTTGTAAGAGTGGTGCCATATTGTCCTTATTGTAATGTAGGCTAAGTACAAATGTGCAACATTTGGGTTAGGGTCAGTCCATTTCTTCTTGTGAATGTGATCCCTAAAATACAATCGGTTGTGTAAAAAAAACAATTTGTATCAAAATCCATCACCTTTAAAATCTATAAAAATGTCCGCATCCTGAAGTTGTATCGTTTGTCCCGTTGTTCTCTGTAGACATGCTAGTACCAGGCTAGTACACGGCCTGTTAGCCCCGCCCTCACGGACCTCCCTCCGGGCTGAAGTGATGCAGCAGGCGGCGGTCAGTGGGTGAAGGAGGGCGGCTTGTGGGGAGCAGCCTGGTGGACTAGCAGAGACTGAAGGAGCACTGCTTGGAGTTAAACCGTCTTGCTGGGGATATCTTGGTGTACATGAGGACCGATAAGGACCGTACACCAGAGTCTCAACATGCACCGAATAACGGGGAGAGCGGGAGGCGACAGTCTGATAGAGATGAGCCCAACAGACTCTTTCAATGGTGAGTAAGTTAGCGGAGAGCCTCAACCAGCCTGCCGTAGTTTCGCATTCAAAAATGTTGCTACTAACTAAATGTATTTATGTTTCATTAGTGTTGGTGAGATAACGTTACTGTCCTACAGCTGGGAAATCAACTAAGACTAAACTGAGGTCGGGTGTTCCCCAGTGTGTTAAAAAAAACTTTAAATGTATTTGTCTAGGACTAGCTACTAAACCAACATTGGACTAAATCTACAACCTTTTGTAAGATTGCTCTATGGCAATTGACAACATAACCATAACACTTCTATTTAACAAAAAAGGTCAATAGTTAATTAGATGTAATGTATGTCACTGGTTGGCTATGCTATGGCATGCCCTTTCTGGCATAACTCGCAAATTACAGTGTTTACTATGCAGTAACAACAATCTGTACCAGAGAGCATTTGAAAACTATTTTAAGTTATATTTGCTCTACTATTTAAAAATGGACCCACCCTGTACATTTCCCCTTGCGCATTAACAACCTCATTGTATTTCTTTCTATGGACACAACAGTGATTTATAGCCAGCCAGCCAGCCTCTGACAGCTGGCCTGCTTTCTGGAAATACTTTGTCACTTACCGGCTCACATTTATCCACAAGTACAAACCCCAAACCTCTCAGTGCCTCTGGCCTAAAGGGATTTTATAACAAACTCTAAGAGGTTTGTGATTTTTAGCCTTTTATGGTGTTGGTGAATTGAGGGTGATTCACCATGGATGCTTTCCAGAAGCCCTTATCTGAAGGAGTTGATATGATAGTTTTGTTTTTCATCATGTTTATAGCAGATCATTGCAGAATCATGAACTATAATGTATGTTACATGATGCTCTGTGTTAATGGTGTGTAGTGATAAAGTGGGAGACTGTTTTTCACAATTCACACTCTCAGCTCTACAACATAAAAATGCCTGTAGTACTAGAAATCTTGATTCTTTTAGAGGTAAATAGATTAAACAATGGTGATGAAAAAATGCTTTTGTCGTACATCAGAACTTAATAATTGTATGACCTAGTGCCTGCAAAAATGAGTTTTCATATACACTCAAAAACATGTAGTGTTAAGCGTAAATATCCCCAGACTGCTATTATTCCCAGACAATTTAGATTCTTAATGAATACAAAATTAACATAACTATCTGAGACTCTTTTAAATGTCATAAAGTAAATTCAACTGCGCAAAGACACGAGTCCAAACACACAGACGAGAGAAGGTTAGATTCAGACTTACTTGGATTATACCTTGTTGTTGCATCCTTACTGTAAATATGGATTACATTTATCTGGCACTGTCTTGGTGAACTGGCCTGTAGGTGTACAGTATGTGAGCACCTGAAACTTACAAATCAAAATAGAACAGACTACAGTTTCCTGTCGTAGGAAATTAGACAAAACCCGCCCACTGTGTTTGTATACAAAAAATAACATCTACTGAAAGTAAGGCTGCTGAATTTACATTTACATCTTGCTAGGTGGCATTTGTAACACTGAAAAACTACAGGTGCAAAATGCCAGACATCTACACTGATAGGAGGGGGAGTCATATCTCTCTTATTTCAATATACAAGCTGTAATTGTTGGCACTGTTTTATGATTCAGCAGGATTTGCCTTAAAGTATTTGTATAGCTGAGTTGTAAAATAACTTTCTTTGTTTAGGATACATATTGATGTTTGTAGTTTGGAATCTGTTGGGTTGCTGTGGTAATAAAAGAACGAGACAGAAGCTGCCTTTTGGCATTTCCTCTGTGATCAGCTGCTCTCTCGCGAACAAAGCCTTAACTGTGGAGGCTTTTTGGTCAGGTTGGAAAATAATGTTTGCTGAGAGCTGCAATACTGAGTCCAACTGTGCACAAATATGCTCGGCTATTAGAGGCATCCTCATATGTTGTAAAGGAAATACATTTTGGAACTTCTGACGGCAATCAAAATCAAATTCAAAATCCTATTTGGATCTTATGTTGTTTTAAAGGACAATAAAGTATTGCATAAAACAGTGGCTGATGGGGTTTACGTTTAAAATCTGCTGTATATTGTGCTGTATCGAACGTATTGCCTTATTTAGGGGGTCGCTGCTTGTCCCCTGTAAGCTTTCACATCCTGTCTTGACTCAAAAAGGACACTAAAATAGAAAAAGTAATTTAGAGCAAAACTAATTAAAAAATGTTTGTTGTTCTGGAAAATGTCATTTATTTTAGTTTTGAACCACTAACTTTTACTTGGCTAACTTGGTGTGTAATAATGTAGAGACAGAAAGGTTTTGATCTTTGTTTCAGGTCAGTGAAAGCACTTTTTCTGTGTTGAGTCCAGACTAAATATAACCTCACAGAGACCATCAATTAGGAAGGTTGTATTTCTATTTAAACACAGACACAGAGTCTGAAACCTTGTTCTGCTTTTTTACTTTTTGGGAGATAGTGTCACAGACTGTACTTGAAGTTGTCCCTGCTTTTCCATTTCTCCTGCTATTTGTTTATGTAAATCTCTTTCTCTGAGTGAATGAAAGGCTTGAATTGCTCTCATCAAACAATGACTAGCAGGTAACAGCAGTATTTTGTAATGATTAAAGACTGTCATGTCTCATCACATGGGCAGCTTTCATTTGCATCACATGGATGGGGTTTCCCACCCTTCTCAAAGCACTCGGGTACAAAGGGAAGTAACAAAACACAAAAACAACCGGGCGGGAGAAAAAGGTCACCACAAGGTGAGGTTTTAATTAATAAAAAAGTAAAGAGGCTCACCAGCCAATTTGCAAAACAAACTTAAGTAACTAAGAACAACTTTCTGTTTAAAGAAAGTGACTAAATAGTACAACACACGCAAAGATAAACTGGAGCACATCTCCTAACAATTCACAAAAACACAGGCCTCACACAGAGACACAGACATGCTGCACACATGCAGCCAGAGGAGAAGGAGAGGCCACTGCAGCCTTCCTCAGGTCCTTTAAGGAGGCCGGGAGACAATCGGGGAGAGAGAGAGAACCACACACACAAAAAGCACACATACACAAGCACCCACTGCGGCACGTAACACACTCAAAGCACAGCACCATGGCTGTGTGTTTCTCCCACAGTGATCCTGTCAAGTCATGCTGTCCGGCCTATGGGAGCACTGCCACAAAATGCTGCACAAATATAGACCACAACGTCTGCGAGTGCTCCTCTATTAACTGAGGTGGCTGTTCATATGCCTGAAACTTCCCTTTACTACCCCCAGCCTGTCTGGCTAAAGTTCATTTGACTTGTTATGATCATTTTACGTTGGTTAAAGAATATTATAGCTTATATTAATGTAATGTTGCTTTGTTTACTGTCTTGCAGATGATGTAAATGGCTACCACCAACATGTTTCTTCGAGCACAGGATCCCTCCAACCGGAACAATCACCGGTAATTCACCACGCTTACACTCACACAATATTATTTTTATACAATTTCCAAATAGCCATTTCTATACTTCCCATGTAGTTAAACATGCTCGCAAGTTACCCGAAATGTAATCACATTTTTTGGCTGATTTGAATTTATTCAAGCTATTTAAATATGTGAAAATGTGCTCTATTCAGCTTTACAAGACGCATACATGACATATTTCTGTTTGACAGTATAATATATTCACTTCCAGTATGTCTTCTATTACAAACTGTATTAGGAAGTACATTGTGTATTAGTAAATCACTTAATACACTCAATGACTTTCCTATTATGAATCAATCTACTGCCCACTTGTGGTCAACCTTTCTATCTTATTAGAGCCCACTACTCGTTTTTTTCCAGTCCATTCATAACAGTTACGGTTTGTAATTGTCATGAGAGTGATATATAATAACCCTCATGCTCCTGTCTATTCTCCCTCTTTCACACTACACTTAAAGTCTCCTTTAACGCCTGATGTGTGTGTAGAGACCTGTGATTCTCTCAACACCAGCCTGGCCTCGCTGGCCCAGTCTGAACACAGCGACAGTCCACAGCACGAGTCTGACACTTTAGAGCGAATCGAAACTTTGACTGGGGTAAGACACCAGTGAAGGACACCGCTGCATGCTGCTGTGTCTGCGTGTTTGTGTCGTCTCACACCGTCTCTGAACTCAAACCTGAAACGGAGACAGACCTGAACCCTTCTGACCCTGACTCATAACATTTAGTCGTCTCCAGAGTGTTAACAAGTGACATCATGTGTAATGCTGTGTAAATGGAATGCAAGTAGTCTGGCATTTAAAGACCTCTGTAAGGTGGCTGCTGCACTTTCAGCTGTGTGTTGTTGAATTTGTTGTGCTGTTGTTGGGCTCTCCCTCACTATCTTGGTTCCTTCACAGCAGTGGAGAAAGCGGGCCCAATTCCTGAAGTTTCGTTCCAGGGTATGGCATGGTAAAACAGGCTTGTGATGTGATGCAACTTCATGCATATGTCTGGCTGCAAGCCTTTCTTTCTTTCTTGTCTTTCCCTTGTTGAATTTCTCCACTGACATTAGATGTTCAGAGAATACATTTTGGACATCAGAGCTGAAATCAATACACATTTCTTGGAGGAGAGCTGACACTGGCTTTTAGAGAGCACTTTTGACTGCAAAGAGCAATAGAAAAACGCAGCATGAGTTTATGTGTTGATGCATCATAGGAGTTCATTAAAAATGGAAAAGGCGTTTTCACTTGCTTTCTTCTCACCTTTGATAATTGTCCACTTGACTGAAGAGAAATCAACAGCCTGCTGGTGTTAAAGCATAATTAGAAAGTGCACACTCGCACACACAAAGACTTGCTCATGCACCGTTTACTTGTATCTGTCATTTGCCCAGCTTTTTTTGTGTGTGTGCATTTACGTGTGTTCACGTTTTTTAAGTGTATACATTCTATACTGTAATCATGACCCTGCCCAGTGCTCAAGACAGGACTGCTCTTTGCTGTGGCTAACCATGTAACGTACTGTAGGCTTCTTCTTTTGAGTACTCTCAAATGTGGTGGTATTTAAACTGTGCAGCCCATTTGAATGAATAGTGGAACAACGACCCCCTTCATGGCAGCTAATCTTTAAGAAAAAGAACGCTGCAATTAGATACTTTGATAATCTGCCTCCCTTTACTAAAGACTACGATTTAGCTGAGACTATCACATCGAGGACTTTACGAGGGGAGGCAGCTGCATAAATGTATCTATAATGAAGAATAGAAATACAATTAGTTTAAAATGCATGCAACATTTCAAAAGGGTTACCTCTGTGACACTCCACGGAGGCTCACCGTTCAAGATACCATTTTGTTTTGCAAATCTAAGTATTTGATTTTCCTTTTTTAGCTATTGAGGATAATGTGTTTGTGTTTGAAACAAATCTGGAGGTTGCATTGATGGATGAACCTATAACTTAGAGATCTAGAGGCCACTAGTTACTACATATGGCTGACAACAAATATCACGCGTTGAGTTTTTTTTAAATTAAATATATTCTGTCTAAATAATATAGTAAAAACACAAAGAACAGCATTGCACCTTATTTCATAGTGTGGCCCTAGAAGAGACTTTTTCTTTTGATTGAAATAGAGAGGAGTGTCATTGGCTGAAGAGAAGATGATACATTATTATACAATCGAGCAGCTGAGATCTATTTAAAATGAAAGAGGTGACCAGTTTCAAAGAAGTTCTTTTTTAAACTCTTTTAGCCCCAAAATAGAGATATCGTATAGAAACCCATCCCTGAAACTAGTAGCATATTTATCTTACGGCGTGTTCTACATTTACTCTCCTTAATTAAGATAAAAGACACACACATGTCAAAACACCCAGTAGTTAGGGTGTGGTCTCTAGCAGCTTTACTGAGCAGACGCGGCTCCAAGCAGATGCACCGGTTCCATACGGCTGATCTGTAATTATGGAAAATGAGAGAGTTTTTACAGCTATGTCCCAGTTAAAGAAAGCTCCCACCCTGCCATGGTCAACATGGTCCGATCTAGTCTGGGAGGTAACGTGGACTAGCGGTTAGCACTGTGCATGATTTGGAAGGACCGCAGAAAGGTTGAACATGTACATGCATATTTTTCTACATGTTAGTACAGTATGAATCAGGGTGGTAGATTGAGCTGTAGTTTTAAAAACAGCTGTCATACTTACAGTATAACACTGATTGGCTGAGGCAAAGTACTTGTATTGATAGTGTCCCATTTGCACTTTGTACAGTGTTGGGAAATGGTCCAGATTTTTTAATTGATTCTTTTTGAACAGTCAGACTCGGGGAGATTATACACCAGCATTCAGTTTTGTCAGAGGAAATGTCCTTATGGTGTCTGTTGACCTTTCTCCCTGAAATATGTATCATTTAAAAAATATAACCCGATGGTCAGTGTTGTGCAGTACAGTTACATCGCTTCCCCTGACGCTGTGATCTTATTACATTAGTTAGCTAGCTGGCAGCCGCCCTGCTATCCTGTGCTGATGTCATCTCTAGGAGTCTCCTCTACTTCTCTCCTTTTATCCCTCCTCCTCTGTCTCTCCCTCTCTCTTTCCTGGATATCTGAGCGAGTGAGGGCTTGTCCAGGGAGGGGAGTGGGACTGGATGGAGCCGGGGGAAGAGAGGAGTGAGAGTGAGGGAGGTAGCGCTTTTAAGGCCGAAGCTTGCTCCCTGGAGAAAGGCAATTTTGCTCTATCAGACAGGCAGCCTTTCCGCTGGTGCATCATAACCATAAAAGGAGTGGACCATGGAGGTAGAGTGCTCTTCCTTTCCTCCCTATCCGTAAACTGCCAGCTCTATCGGAATTACAGTACAGAGCTAATTCATAGTATTTGTGATGCTAAATGTTAGCAAATTCTCTGAATTGTCTGTGTAGGTAGCTACTGTAGTGATGACAGAACTACTGGCACATGGTTATTTTTAGCTTCCTGAACAGCTGAAGCAGCAAGCAGTCATGCCTTCCTGTCCTCCCTCAAAGCATTCCTGTGTAGTTCATTTCCCTTCAGCCCCGTGGCTGCAGAGACAGACACTCAGGGGCTAGCATTTACTGGCTAGCACATGTTCTGAATGTTTTTAGCCACCAACACAGGTGTTTTTAAAGACAATAGATTACAGATTATACAGAAACAATGTTGGAGTGTTAACCCAGATGTGGCTGCTGCATGTCTTTGTTGTGTGTAAAGAATGTTTTTAATTAATGTGTACTCCTCTCTACATATCCTTTGCTATGAAATATAACCAAAGGTTATGGTAAATGAGTTGACTGATGACCTAAAATCAAAACATTTTATGTCATTTTCTGCACTCAATTCTGTGAACAAAGATATCTCTAAAAGCCTATTCTCATCTTGTTCAATACATCCTGTAAATGGGACATGAGGAAAATGAAACACCACACAATAGCAGATGCCCTGAATTAAGAATGCTATTTGTGATTGGAGTGAAGATTTGATAATCAGTATTTTTGCTGATTTAGTCCAGCAGTTCCGTATGAAGTGGTTTGGTGCCTTGCTCTTTGGGTTTTGTTGCCCACTGACCCATTGACTGTCTGCTGTGGTGAATGCATCCAAAGACTTGTTGAGCTGATACTGGACCTGTGTATGTGTTTTAAATGTTGTGACCTTTGTTCCTTTTCCTTATAGATTGACAAACAACAACACAGCAAAGACTCTGTGTTCTTCCGTGATGGGGTGCGCAGGATTGATTTTGTCCTGTCCTATCTTGATGATAAAGATGGCGAGAGAAAGCAGGTAAGAAAAGAAACTCTATGCCATTTGTTTTTAATAATACAGTATAGTATTTCCCTAGCTTACTCTCTCCATATGTGTGTTGTTTTTAATGAATTATTATATGTTGTTTTGTGACAAACGTTTTTTAACATGTATTGTTCTACTTCCAGAAGAAATGATCTTAAAGACATAATATGGCACAAAAGAGCAGCTGTTGTATTTATTTCCATGTTTTGACTTAAACAGTAAGAACTGTATCTTACAGGATATCCTCAGAGTTCACAGTGTGTGTCAGCGGCATACTCCAAATACCAAAACACTGATGAAGTTAGATAAACTGTTATTTTCAGCTTGTGTCAGTAATCCTCTCACGGAATTTCCCTGAGAAGGTCACTTCTAGAGATACACCTACAGCCCCTTTTCTTGGGAAAATCAACTTTGAAGTATTCTTTTACCTTTGCTGGCCAGATTTGTTTTGTGGCTCATCTATTATTCAGCTGTGGGGTGCTGAAAGACTTGTGTGTGTCTAGTGTTTGATACGGAGCTGTTAGTCTTCACAGCTCTGTGTTATAACTCTGGAATAAGGCTGTGTGTAACTCATTTTCTACCCGCAGCCCTCTGTGAGTCAACACTCAGACCTCTGGCCTCTTCAGGAACTTGCTCATTTGTTCCACTGCATGAGGAAGGGCAAACGGGAGGCCAGTTCCTGTGTGTTATCCACATGTGGTGTTAAATGTGACCGTAAATTTAAGCTCTAACAAGGACTGTTAGCACTCAGTGACTGCTACTTTTGTAAAAAAGATACTGAGCTAATTGACTGTGGATCCATTCAATCGTATTGCTGTTTTGTGTATCATACCATACAATGTTATCCACATACATATTCTTCACAATTGTTTAAACATGATTATGATTTCATGTGTAAAGGTTTCCTATTATTCAGACTCTTTCTTTTCAAACATTTATAATGTTATTTGACACTCTGTGTATTTCATTGTGTGGTTTTTGGTGTTTTGAAATGGCAGTAAATGATTGAAACAAACTTGTTAATGTTTGCAGGGCCGGTTCTAGACAATTTGATGCCCTAGGCGAGATTTTAGCTGATTTTCCTTCTTATATCCGTTAGAGCAGCTAGCACCAGATGCTAATAACAACAGCGCCGGTACCGGTGCTCTCTCTCTCTCCCTCGTCCGCTCCCACGCTCACTCGCACTTTGGCTGTGAGCTGCGGGCGCCCGATAAGCCAACACCCCCCACTTTCATCACTTACAGCGCCTATCGTACAGGGCAAAGGAAAAGTGTAACCGGGGTGAAAAGGGTGTTACCTTGACTTAATTATGAATGTTGCTACATCAAGGCTGAAAATTAGGATGAGCACCAACGGTCAAAAATGTTTTTTTCCCTCCCAGAGCTACCAGCGGAGCGCCCCCCCCAGATCTGGCGCCCTAGGCGACCGCCTATGTCGCCTATGCCAAAAACCGGCCCTGAATGTTTGAATATGCTTTGTTTTCTTTTAAAGGAGAGGAGGAAGATGTACGAAGCTAATTTAGTGAACGTCGGCCTGGAACTGGAGACAGAAGATAAATCGGTAAAAGTCCAGCTATCATTTAATGTCTTTTGTGTGTTTATAATATGTATATATGGTTAATCATATTTTTTTAAGTAAAAACGATTATCCAGTACATAAGTGTATTTTTGAAGCAGCCAAAACAAACACTGATATTTATCTTTATACTTTATAGCCAATAAACCATGCATTTTTCATAAAGCCTGTAAAAGGCATTCTTCAAGCATGTTTTTTTTATCACTGAAATAGTTTTAGTTTATGATCCAATATCCTTACACTCACGCCTCGCTGTCATTATATTTAGGAGTCGGACGACGGAAAGACTTATTTTGTGAAGATCCACGCTCCATGGGAAGTCTTGGCCACCTACGCAGACGTGCTGAAGATCAAGGTCCCATTCAAGGTCAATGACATCCCAGACAACGGTGACATGCCCATGAACTGGCTGTCCACCCCCTTCCGTCTGCCGGAGCACATCATGCACCCCGAGCCCGACTATTTCACGGCTCCATTCGACAAGAGCAAGTCCGACTTCTTCCTCATCGATGACAAAGCGACGTTCTTCCCTCCATCTGTCCGCAACAGGATAGTAAGGATTCTTTAACCATGAGTTTCTTATCTTGTTTGAGACTTACAAATGAAACATCACTTACACATAAAATGCAGAATGAATGCTGGCCATACATACTTTTTAAATAACTATTTAATAAACTTCTTCATAACTAAATGTTCTTATTGGCAAGCTTCAGAACATTTCTCCTTGTATTTCTCTCTCTGCCCAGGTCTACTACATCCTGTCCCGCTGTTCATACTTCAAGGATGAGTGCGGAGTTAAAGACAAGAAGGGAATCAAGAGGTTACTCAACAACTGCACCTACACTGCTGCCTTCCCGCTGCATGATGTGAGCGTCTTTTGGTGAACTTTTAGCTTTTTAGTCTTCACTCCTCCTGTTGGATGTCCACTGTGCGGTGTTGCAATGCAATAATGAATCATTCCTTACATGATGTTACTGTATGAAAAAGGTAGTGAACTGTGTCTCTTGTGTACGTACAGTGTAGATACTGGACAAAAGCTAAAGATGCTAATTGCGAAAGTGAGAGATACCATCTCCACAAACACTGGGCCAGATTCTTATGTTTCTACAAGGAGCAGCCCCTCAATCTCATAAGGTACATAAACAGGAAGTCATATCTGATGTGTGTTTGCTTAAAATGTTTTTAAAAGAATTAAAGGAAATGTAATTCTCCCCTTGAACAGGAAGTATTATGGGGAGAAGATAGGTATTTATTTTGCCTGGCTGGGCTTCTACACTGAGATGCTGTTGTTTGCTGCGATAGTGGGAACACTCTGTTTCGTCTATGGATTCCTCACCTTCGATGACAACCAGTGGAGGTGAGTTTATCAAGAATACACGCCTGTGTTGTTGGGTTTCAGCTGTTGTTTCTTTATTATTAGTATTTAGTAATAATCACTCTCATTTCCCTACAGTAAAGACATATGTAGTGCTGAAATCGGAGGGAACATTGTCATGTGCCCGCTGTGTGACAAGAAATGTGGCTACTGGAAACTCAACTCAACATGCAACTCCTCATGGGTAACAAATCCTGGATTTTCTGCTTTTGTTAATCATTAATATGTTTTACTTTTGACTTTTAAAGTGGTTTGAAGCTAGATCTCAACAATTCTGTTTTTCCTTTATCTCACTATTTCTCAAACTTGTTCTCCATTCAGCAATCGCACCTGTTTGACAATGTGGGAACGGTGTTTTTTGCCATATTTATGGCGATTTGGGGTGAGTAAATATGCCTCTCTGCATTTTCCATTCTCTAACCCAGTGCACCACCTAGTGGGAGTTGATATATTGTTATTAAACACTGTTACTCACTATTTATTAAAGGGTCTACTCACCAAATCACAAAGAAACATATTTGTATTCACTTCGTATGCTCTGCAGTGACGCTGTTCCTGGAGTTCTGGAAGAGGCGGCAGGCTCGACTCGAGTACGAGTGGGATCTGGTGGACTTTGAAGAGGAGCAACAGCAGCTGCAGCTTCGGCCTGAGTATGAGACAAAGTGCACCAACCGCAAGCTGAACCGAATCACTCAGGTGATTGTGGGCTCATGGAATACTAATATGCTTTATGATAATGTTCTAATGTACAGATGTAACTTTCACAGGCTTTACCAGACAAGTAGATAAGATTGGACAGATTACAGGATCTGCTGTTTTTACTGGATAACTACCCTCTTAGATGGTGGCATTCAATCATCAAAAAAATTGTGTAAAGGGAGACCCTTTTATTAAGAACACTGTGTACATTGAGTCAGGAATGCGTAGTTAATAAAGTGACAGACACAGTGTTAAATAAACAGGCTGCCGTAATGTGACTTGAACCACATCCCACCCATCTTTAGGAAATGGAGTTGGTTCTTAACAGGACTCCCACAGATTTAATGGGGAAGTTGTTGCTGTGCTGGGCCACCGTGACACTCTGGGTAAGGGTGGCACTTAACGTGGAATGCCGCATTGGTGAGAAGGAGGTTTTGGTGTGGTGTAGTTGGTGTGGATAACAGACAGGCACGAATGTACCCCTGCACCGCATTACTGTTTGTCTGGTGGAACAGTATCTTGAAAGGCTAGCTTCAATAGGAGATGAAAGAATTGGACTGGGACTGAAACACCTACACACAGACGGCTGTGATTGGGTGACCAGGCTCTGCCTTGCATCGGAGGCTAGTGATAGTTAAAGGAACATGGCCTTTTAGAGCTGTCTTTTCAGGATATAACACTTACTCCTGTGTCCATGCTTTGCTTGCTTATGATGTAGGAAATGGAGCCGTACTTACCAATAACAAGCAAGTGTGCACGCACGTGTCTGTCTGGAGCCACAGTCCTGTTATGGGTGAGCATTGTTTCTTTGGTAAACTTGATTAATCTAAACGCTTTTCATTCCTCTACCTGTTCCTCCATCGTGTCTTTTTGTCTTTTCTGTCATACTGTTCATCAACTTCACTAATTCCATGTGACCCGGGCCACTATGTTTAAAGCTTTTTGAGAAATAAATCTGTTTTTAATAATTTGGGAGCTGAGATTATTGCACTTAATCTACATTTTAAAAATATGGGGGAAGTTATGTCATTCTTAAAAATATTGACTATTTTAAACCAAATGCTTTAAACATACAGGCCCGTAATCTGACTTGTTACTAAGAGAATTGTGAATGTGCTAATGGGAAGATAATTCCCGTCCATTGGGAATATCTGCATTAGCATGACAGTTATTCCTTACATCTACATGTACAGTATTTAGGCAACACATCCCTTTTATGTGTGTATTCACTCACATGTCCTCATTTGTGTTGGTGTCTAACGTGAATCACAACGGTACGGTGTTCTCACTGTGCTGTTGTTTTTTGCCATGTAGTTGTCTTTCATGTTGTCTCTGTCTCTGTCCTGAAGATCTCATTGATCATTGCCTGCATCATTGGCGTGATAGCGTACCGTCTGGCGGTTTACGCAGCCTTCGCCAGCATCATGAAGGACAATCCCACCACCAACCTGCAGGTGGTCGGCCCCTACATCACGCCACAGCTGGCCACCTCTGTCACAGCCTCCTGCATCAACTTTGTCATCATCATGATCCTCAACCTCATGTATGAGAGAGTGGCTGTTTGGATCACTGACATGGGTGAGGCTCAGAGTGTGAGAGTGAACCAGAGTATTGCATATCTGTGTCTTTATGTATCCATTATGATCTTCATACTGATCCTGGAGTGTACAAATGTCTTTTTTATAACTTTTTTATAATTTATTCAAAATGTATGGCTTTTACTGTGGCAGAAATTCCCAAGACCCATCTGGAGTATGAGAACAAACTGACGGTGAAGATGTTCCTCTTCCAATTTGTCAACTACTATTCCTCCTGCTTCTACGTGGCTTTCTTTAAGGGCAAATTTGTCGGCTATCCTGGAAATTATGCTTATATGTTTGGCAGCACACTGAGGAATGAAGAGGTACCAGATATAAAAAACATTACATTGTATAATATTAGCATTGGTACTTCAGCCTGGGTTTGAATTTGAGTTTGTTCCTTTCCCTTCCCTCCTCAATCTCAACCTATCTACATTCAGTGTGACCCTGGAGGCTGTTTGATTGAGTTGACCACGCAGCTGGTGATCGTGATGACGGGTAAACAGGTGTGGGGAAACATCCAGGAGGCTCTGGTCCCGTGAGTACTCCACTGAACTAACCGTCCGAAGATACAGATGGTTACATTCACACTCTGTTTACAGGCTTCGCAGCTGCTTCACATATTTCATAGACCATGGCTGGGGTCTTGGTTTTTATTTCGATAACATTGATTTTATTTTGAAATTCAGCATCTATAGTCATCCTGCATCCTGGTTTGGAAAAGTAGTGACATTAATGTCCTTCATGCATACTCTTAACACAAAATCAATAAGATTTGGACATTTAAAGAAAGATGGGTCATGATAGATTTTAACTTGTATCAGAAGAGAACATTTGAGTGTATATAAAATACATTTTGATGGCAAAATTCCATTCAGCTGCATCTTTTGTTGGCTCTCTCTCACATTGTTGTCATTGCTTACTGTGACACTTGAACAGAACAGAGCCGTCATTCATTTCAGTAACAGCTGTGCTCCTGCTGAAGAGTCTGCTGTGAAAAAGCCATTCATCAGTGACTTCACAATCATTTTCCAATCTAAACGATTACAGAAATAAACCTTAACTTTTACATATTGTTACATTTAAAACAACATTTATTTAAAAAACATTAATCTCTTTATAGATTTTATTTGTATTTCACAACAGCCTCTAACATGTTTGTTATAGGGTGAATTATGTTGCCTTTAAATGACTTCATCGCCCCCTTGTGTCCTTCAGATGGATGATGAACTGGTGGGGCAGCAGGAAGGCACGAAACCACCCAGAGAGTCTGTACAGCCGCTGGGAGCAGGACCACGACCTGCAGGGCTTCGGACAGCTCGGCCTCTTCTACGAGTATCTGGAAATGGGTAAACATTCATTACATATTCGATCCTTTACACACAAAGAGGGAGATTAAGAGACAGGCTTGGAGCTTGGCTGCAGTGAAGACCGTTTATGAGAAATCCAGTGTCTGGAGACCTGACCTAGAGCGAAACCAAGACAAACGTGGGAAATAATTTGCTTAGGTATTCAACCTTTGACACAGTTCATAATTTTCTCCTCTCACTGTCTCCTTTCCCACGGCATAGGTCTACGGCCTTGGGTATCACTGCTATCTCTCTTAAGGAGGAGCAGCTTGGGCGCATTGTTGTTGCCAGTCTATGACAGAGCACAAGCTGCCATGAGGTAGTTTGCTGTTCAGGGACGTCGGTTCCCTGGCGCAGATTCTTTCCTATGGACGAGAGCTCTAGTTAGATTCAGGGTCCATCATTGTGTAGTCTCACTGATAAAGAATGTTGATTATTACACTCCGAATTATTTAAAACCTCGAGCTACAGAAAGAGTTCTTCAGAATTGGTTTGGCAAGCGCTGTGTCAACTCGTGACACACCACCTGTTTTGTCAATTCTCCGGCCGTCACTCCAAATAAACCACCAGTGTTTGCCATCAAAGCTCCAGCTCTCCTCGTGTCTCTCTGAGTCCTGACTCTCCATTGCTACAGAAGTTTCCCCACAAATACCTGTTAATATACTGCTGCCACGTAAAGGAATAAACACAAACACTGATTTTAAACACATTTTTTGATGCTGGGAGACAATTAAAATTGCCTAAAGAACCCTGAGGAACTGTTTTTAAAATATAGATAGATAAATAGATAGATGGATAAAGGATATATATTATAAGATAGATCAAATAAGACACATACACAACAGACAGATAAAGACAATTCAATGGATAAGATTGAACATGATAGCTGCACTGTCCTCTGAGATTCTGCAGATGGTGGTGTTCCCTCCTGTCTCTCACTATCTTCTCCCCTCTTTGTGTCCCAGTGATCCAGTTTGGTTTCATCACGCTGTTCGTCGCCTCCTTCCCCCTGGCACCCCTGTTGGCACTCATCAACAACATCATCGAGGTGAGAGTGGATGCCTGGAAGCTCACCACTCAGTTCAGACGTCCGGTGGCAGCAAAGGCTCACAGCATCGGAGCCTGGGAGGAGATCCTCAACGGGATGGCCGTTCTCTCTGTGGTCACAAATGTGAGTGCTGGACAACATCTGTGTGCTTTGAGTCTTTTCAATATCACCAAGTTGTATCTCTAGTTTGCCTGACACGGTTTCTTTCCCCGCTTTCTAGGCGTTCATCGTGGCCTTCACCTCTGACATGATCCCTCGGCTCGTGTACATGTACGCCTACCAACCGGACGGGGAGTTGAATATGAAAGGCTACATAAGCAACAGCCTGTCTTCCTTTAATATTTCTGTCATCCCAGTCGAAAACAGGCCTGATGACGATGAGAACCCTTCCTGGTTCAACAACTCCATCGATACCTGCAGGTGTGTGTGATTGTAATGCTCTGTGTGTGACATAAATGTGCATGTGGAGGTAGTGCATGTTTCCACTTCTATGGTAATACATCTGGTGGAAGAAGTACTCAGATTCTGTACTTGAATGAAAGTAGAAATAATATAACATAATACTAAAGTTAAAGTAATCTTTTAACTGGATTAGAAGTAGGGATTTATTACCAGCATTTAAGTATAAGTATCATTTTGGAAGTTGTCCCCTTTCAGAGTGTTAAATATGTCTTCCTTCTCCGTAGGTACCGTGATTACCGCTACCCCTCCGGCCACGAGAAGCAGTACTCTCACACTATGCAGTTCTGGCATATTCTGGCAGCAAAGCTGGCGTTCATCATTATCATGGAGGTAATACCAGCATCACTCAATGACTTCTTCAACTGAGCTACACATTCTTACCTCGGTATACCTTTATAAAGATATTTATCTTTTTCTCATTCCAGCTAAAAGTAAAACTAATAGGGGTGGGAATATCCAGAGGCCCCATGATATGACACTGTCTCGACACTTGTGTTACCATACAATCTATATTGCTATTTTTTACTTTTTCTTATAACATGTATTGAAATATATTGAAAGTTATTACTGTTTTTCACCTGCAAAATATGCCTTTTTTGTTTTGAACAACTTCCTGCCAACTGCTGACTGACAGCTGACTTTACCAATGATCTTACCTGAAAAACATTCTGAATAAGCAATTGTTCCCCAAAAGTTTAATTAGTATTTTCAATATGAATAGTCCATTGAATCAAAGATTGATAGCTAGAGCTTGTGTAAAGTGTTTGCCAGGAAATGGCGGAACTAAAACAAACCTGCTTTCTGCTCCACAGCACGTTGCGTTCCTGGTCAAGTTCTTTGTTGCCTGGATGATTCCTGATGTTCCCTCTGAGGTGAGGGCTCGAGTGAAGAGAGAGCGCTACCTGGTCCAGGAGTATCTCCATAACTATGAAGTGGAGAAGCTGAAGATCCAACTCAGCCAAAACGTCAATGAAGAGTGTAACTGCTCGCCTATGATCTACCCGTGTTTAACCAAACATGAGGTGCTGTCAGAGTGTCTCTAGCCCAGAGAGCTGCTGGCTAATCCTCTGGACATGATGTAGATTACTCTGCTGGGGTATGATGATACTGACCATGACTTTGCTGTAGTGCCTGTGTGTTTTGTGCAGTACACATACACACACAAACTAAGAACATATATATAAAAAGCCATCCCTATTCTACTAGTCTGCTGATAGTTAAAGTGCACGGAGTGGATCGACCAAGTCTCCATGCATGCTGAAACACATGTATTTAAACCTCTGGCCTACACTCTCTATGTTGCAATGAAAGCGCTGATGATAATCAACATTTGCTGTAAAAAATCCCAAAACACTGTGTCTAATCCAGACAACCTACTCTTGTTTAAATATGACTATTTATTTAATTGCCACTATAAGTAACCAAAGACTAGGTGCCTTCATTTATGAAACACTTATCATTGGTTCTATCTGCTAGTAGAATAACAGCCATTTAGAAACTGAGGGCTTGCTTATTATGAGAATTTGAGTTGTCCCTTGTTTGTATGTGCAGCTATATGACAGTTCCAGTATCTCTAAGTCTATATTCAATTTTAGTTTATTTTTAGTTTTTAAAGTTACAGTCAATCAATCAATCAATCAATCAATCAATCAATCAATACAGCAACTCATTGTATTCACATTGAGGTAATCCTTACTCAATTTTAACAAACTAGTATCCTCTCTCTGGCAAATACTAGGCTAGTAACATTTAGCTTTAATCTCATAACCACCCAGCAGTTTCTCCAGCTTCAAATCTGACATGTGAAGTAGCTTTCTGTGAAGAGAAATCTGTGCAGCTGTTAGTACTGTGAGTGAAGGTGGCTTTTGTCCTGCAGTGGCCAGTTGTTGAGCAGCAGCAGCAGCAGCAGCAGCAGCTGGTGTGTGTTGACTGTTGACGGTAAGTCCTGTGCCTGGAGATGAGGAGCGGGAAGCCCTGAGAGAGTGAAGGGATCCCTTTTTGATGTGCCTCTGTTTACCAACACGTCGGAGCTAATGAAAGCTGCCCCTACCTACTGAACTATGTTTGCTCCATTACACAAAGCACGTCAGCCATCGCCCACTTCTTGTGCTTCTGTTTGTCCTCAGCTGTGTCTGTGTTGAGAAGGAAAGATACACATTCTTTTTTTTAATTTTGCACAAAGCACTTAATGAAACGTGATTACCAAGACGTAAACATGTCAGTGTCTTTGTGGTCATGATGCTACGCATTCATAATCAGTGTTTTGAAGCAACAATGTCTGATACTTTGTGTTCACTAATATGGAACAGTTGTACTGCAGGTGAAAAAGAAGTCTGAATTTGATATTTATATTGTGCTTAAATGACAACCGGGAGAAAGATGTAGCTTTTTTGTTTTTAAATTTTATGAAGGACATTTCATGGCTGCCTAAATGAAAACATGTGATACTTATCTGTTGTTGAAGTATTTCAATGTTAGGTAAAATAGCTGACTGCTGTGCTACAAACTCAGGCAACGATAAACCTATGTTTGATCGTGATGCATGTAGATGAGATCCTGTTGTGTTGGACGTTTTCCCCAACTCATGTTCTGCGCTTAGCTAAACTATTACCTGTTGATGCCTTAACACATCTAATACCTGTGTTTTCTATTTTATTTTATTGAATATTTCTTTTCTTTAATAATAATATTTCATTTTATACTATTATCGTGCTTGGGGAAAAGGTGAATCTGTTTACTGTAAGCTTTAAGTTACGATGTTATGTTTCATTCATTCGTTTCTGTAATTTTTGTAATTGTCATGTATCCAAATATGTAAAAAGACAAATCTCCAAAATAAAGTGGCAGTTCAACTTGAGTAAGTGTTGGACCTGTTTGGATCTGTCCTGCTGCCGTGGGCTCCTCTGCTGAGGACAGAAAAGTTACCATTTACATAATAACAGATGGCCGAGAGAACACTGATAACTATTCAGTGTTTGTTCACACTGGTGGGTGTGTTTTACACCAAAATATGTTGGCATGATTGTTTCACTTGGCACACCGCAAAGCCACCGTTACAAAGACATGGGCAACACTCAGGTGCAGGTAGGCTGTAATGGATCACTGTCATTTTTAACATGTTATCTGGTTTATGACACTACAAATAACATTAATTTTGTGTCGTAATTATGATTGTTTATAAGATTTGTTTTCTATTAGGGCAATAATCCTGTCCATATATGTTGTTTTTACACTGAAGCCAAAGTGTTAACAGTTAAATGCAGCTTTTGATGAAGAATAACAGGAAACACACCATCTTGTAATGTGGATAAGTTGAACCTCTGCCCATGACCATCCAGCCTCCAGAGGCAGCCTTCTGCGACCTGAACTCAACCCGAGGTCTCCCGCTGATCCAGCTCTACGTGATGCCCACCTTCTTCCTAACGGTGTTGATCCTGGGCCTGCCTCTTAACCTGCTCTCCCTCTGGGTCTTCTGCCGACGGCTGGGGCGCTGGACCCGCAGCACGGTGTTCCTCTTCAACCTGACCCTGGCGGACACCTCATGGCTACTGGCCCTGCCATACCTCATCCACTACCACCTGGACCAGCTCTACTGGAAGCTGGGGCGGTCGTTCTGCATGACTGTGAGGTTGTTCTACCACAACTACTTCTACCTCAGCATCTTCTTCGTCACCTGCATCAGCGTGGACAGATACCTGGCCATCGTGCACCCGCTACGCTCGCTGGTGCTGCTGGGCCGGAGGCAGACTCACCTGCTGTGTGCGGTGATGTGGGCTGCTGCTCTGCTGCTCAGCGTACCTGTTGCAACCATGACTGAGATCCAGACCTGCCCCGGGAGCAACCGCACCGTGTGCACCTTGTACATATTTCTGAGCCACACTGAGGAGAGTCTCCCTTATTCCCTCATGTGTTCCATCCTTGGCTTTCTCTTCCCGCTGCTCTCCATCTGCTACTGCGGCCTGCGCAGCGTCATGGAGCTGCACAACCGCCCCGACCCGCATCACAAGCAGCAGCGGCTCCGAGTGCGGCGCGTGTTGAGCGCCGCGCTGGTTTTCTTTGCCTTGTTTTACCTGCCCTACCACATGTGCCGTAACGCCGCCGTAGTGATGCGGGTCTTGTACCCCAACAGCCCCACCTCCTGGGGGCGCGCAGACCTGGTCTTCTCGCTGGAGATGTGCCTCTGCAGCCTGATAACCTGCATCAACCCTTTGTTCAGCTGCTTCATTGGCAACCAGTTCAGGAAGGAGTTTCATGGCACTTTTGCTGTCATGTTTTGCCTATCTAAGAGGACCCGGATGACTGTGAGGAAAAGGCAGGGGATGTCTACTGTCACACCTGTGTGCACATTGCCTGAAACTGATTCCTTGTGAGCTGGAGGAATATAAATTAATAAAAAGTTAATGAAAATGTGAATACATATTTTACATATTTAAATAATCATAATTGTAATCACATGTTTTTATCAGTTGGAGATAAGATTAAAAAACTGCGTAAAAAAATGGTTTCCAGTCTCCTTTATCTAATGTCATCTCATATCAGATAAGGTCTCCTTTTTCCTTACACAACACTGCCTCTGCGTGGTTGATTTCATATACTGTAGGCTAAAACATGCATGTGAATAGCGTCTTTCTTTCATTACGTGAGCAACAATACAATACTCCGTTTATTCAATTTAGTGAAATTAAAGCTTTGCAATGTTTCCCCTAAGTTTTAACAATGTGAGAGTAGTAAATCAAACAAAAAACCGAGAATCAGTCGGATATGGAGGGAGGAGGGGATCATTGTTCAGTGCCTGCTGCTGCAAGTGATTGATAAGGGGTCTGCTCTCATCCTGAATAGTTTTTAATTCAGTTAAAAATGTTGTGAATGACAGTGGTTGTTTAAGTGGTAATTCTCGCCTTTAACTTGTATTTTTTTAAGTAGGCTAGTAATTGAATTAGGGGAGAAAAGCGGCAGGAGGAGGGGCGCTGCGCGGAGCTGCTGACAGGTGGAGGAGCTGTGCGCTGTCCGCGGTGCTGAACCGGCTGCTGCCTCACCGGAGATCCTCACCTCAGATTAGACCAGAGCTCCACCGACGTGCACATACCGAAGATTGTCCACTTTTTCCCATCTCGATTTCTCAAAGAATACTCACAAAATAATCCAACTTTCCATTTTCTGTGTTGCTGTTTTCTTATCGCTGGCTGGATCTTAAAATGGCTCTGCATGGATTAACACTGCGCAAGGCAAAAGCGGACTTATTTGACTGCTGTTTTGTGACTGTGAAACCAGCCCTTTCCGACTGAACGTGTTCCCCCATCTTTCTCCATTTTCCTGCTCATCTTTTCAGGACATCGAGACGTTTTCTGCTTGAAAGACAGCAGCACGTTATTTGGATTATTTGTTTAACAATATGCTCATTAAGCAGCTCTTCCATTTGTTATAGTATTGTAGATTTTTAAAGATATTTTGGATATGGAGCCTGGCATGGAGAAACCTGCCCCTACCACTAAGGAGGGAATAAAACAGATCGCAGGAAAGGCCCTGGGAAAGATTTACAGGTAAGGCGAACACATTCCCAATTTCTAATGTAATCATGAGAATTATATCTGTTATAAAATAGAAAAATACCCAGATGTTAAAATCAAGCGTAACATCTGTACTAATAATGCTATTGCTATTTTACAATGAAATCAAGAGGGAAATCTCTTCTTTATGAGATGAATCACGGACAGGATGCTAAAGGCAGAGTCGTGTGGCCCGAATATTTAAGGATCAGATATTTCCCTGGAGGATGATCCCCTCCACCAGCTGCTGTGGGTGTTTTTTTAATAATTAATGAAACAGAGCGAGTCGTGACACAAGGTCGGAGGATATATATTACCTTATGTATCCATGTGTATTAATCCAAGATCGATTGACTTCATATCAATTGACTCACTTTATTATTTATACTGTCAGAAGGACATAAATGGAATGTAATCCAAAGCAAAAATCAGACTGCAAAGCAAACATTTTTAATTTAAAATCACGGTCAGGAAGCAGGGTGACGTTTTCACACATATTATATTGAATTATTTATTCACTCTGATGGGAAATGCGAATAAAATTCCTTTCAGTTGAACATGAAGCCGAAAAATACGGTTTTTTTACACAAATCATCTGGAAACACGTATCTTTTATAAAATACGCCTATATGAACACTTGTGCAGGCTCACACAGTTTTGTTTTTAAAATCTTTGAATGTCTTTCTGTCGTTGAACTTGATTCCATGCTGCAACACAAAAACGTGACTGGAAGCATTACAAAAAAATCTATTCGTTTCATTTAAGATGGAGCAGGCCTGGTATTTAACTGGATGAGGCCTTCACCTTTCAATGTTTAGTTTTTCTAAATGAACCTTATAATTATTCGTACACATTTGCATTGAAAGACAAATCGGAAAGCCAAAGCCACATTTTTAAGATCTAATTAATACAATAAAAGGGAGAAATTAACTCTAAACAACGAGGATGCTGATAATGCTGCAATGCGGTATGAAGGTTATTCTTTCCTCGTTTGCCAACAAGTATTTATTTTACAGAATCATTGAGAATTTCCGCACGAAACGAAAAAAGGTAGTTGACTTCGTGTAAAAGGGAGCAGGCTTTGAGGGGCCTGAGCCAAATTCAATGCAGAAAATGTGACATTTTAAAGGTTTTTCGTTACAAGAGCACAGAGTAAAAATAAAAGCTTATTTCCAAGATGCAAACGTCCTAAGAGGCATATGAATAAATGCATTTGTATTAATAGTGTGTTTTTTTCGCAGAAAATCAACGAAATCTCACATTTCCATTTGGATAGTTATAGCTCCTTTAAATTCAGCTGAACGTGCATGGATGTTTGGTTTCATAAATCCAAGTGTCAACATTTATAAACGTGTCGTGCAGGCGGTTGGAAAAGCGTCAGCAGACCACTGAGGGCATCGAGCTGACGGAGGATGGGAGACCCACGGAGGAGCAGGAGAGGAAGACCCCCCTGTGTGACTGCACGTGCTTTGGGGCCCCGCGCAGATACATCATCGCTATGCTGAGCGGCCTGGGCTTCTGCATCTCCTTCGGTATCCGGTGTAACCTGGGTGTGGCCATCGTCAGCATGGTCAATAACAGCACGATCCATGAGGACGGCAAGATCGTCATCTTAGAGGTGCCTGAAAACCCCGCCCCCCCACTCCACATATTTATTAAGATGAGGGCCACCAATAGACTCATGATATTATGTCGTGTTCGTCTCTCCCCCTTAATTTGGTGTTCCCGGTCTGTTTTAACTGCTCTTACATTAAAATAAAAAATATTAATCATCACCAAATGCTATTTAACACCCCATAAAGCTGTGAACAGTGTCTCAGACTGGTTTCTATGAATAGCTGCAGTGCAAAGAATAGACACTGAAAATGTATTCCAAAAATAACATTTTGTGGATTTGTATTAGTGTAGGCTACTTTTTGATTGGGGTTCCCCATTCACTTCCTATGGCGGTCATTTTTGTAAGAACACCATCGACGGTGTAACACAGTTTACAAGAGTAAATCGGTCAGATTACCCAAACACAAGAGGAGGGTTAAACTACCCTGGAGAACCTCCATTGAGCATGTGCTTTTACTTTGTATTTATTGTGCTAATAAGCCTTTATGTTTTATGAGTTAAAAGATGTATGTTGCCTTTCCTTTTTTAATGTTTTCAAAAGCTGATACTGTTGTGCTTTAATTCGTTGATCGATCATGTTATATAAAATGTTGTCTCTTCAAAGATTTCAAAGCTCTTCATTTAAATTAAATTAATTATGTTTGTTTTTTTGTGTGTGAAAGAAAGCAAAATTCAACTGGGACCCAGAGACCGT